GGCGGGAGGGTGGGCGTGGCCGGGGCGGCGGGACGCGACCCACCTTGAACACCTGGGGCTTGTGGATCAGCCCCATGAGCGACAGGAAGCCCCCGTAGGACCAGCCGTGGATGGCGACGCGGCTGAGGTCTATGAACCCGTACTTCTCGGCCACGAACTGCAGGCCCTCCACCTGGTCCTCAATCTCCACCTGGCCCTGGGGGTGAGCCGGCACCTCTCAGTGGCTCCTCCCAGCGCCCGAGTCCCACCCCGGCCCTGGCAGCGCCTCTCCCTGTCTCTGGAAGCCACTGTCCCTCTGGGCCCCCCGGCCCTGGACAGGTGGCTCTGTGGCAAGTGACGTTAATGTCCCTAGATGAAGAAACCCTACTTTACAGAGGCCATGAGGACGAAAGCGGAGCATCCCGGCACGTGCTAGGGCTCACACAGCAGCTGGTGCCACCCATCACCATCACCACCAATACAGCTGAGTATCTGTGGCCCCCAAATTCATGCAGGGGTCCTGCTATGGCCTCCAGGAGGCAGCTAAGCCATGGGGGCCCCCACCCTCACAATAGGGATTAGGCTCCCTCACAATGGGGCCTGTTGGAGGGGACAGAGCTGGTGCCCCACCCCCCGAGGATGCAGCCACAAGGCACCATCTTGGAAGCAGGGCCGCCCCCACCGGACACCAGCCCTGCCAGCACCTCGGTCTGGGGCTTTCTGCCCCCGGAACAGTGAGAAATACATTTCTGTTCTTGGTAAGTTTCCTGGCATGGGACGACGGCCACCACCATCACCTGTAGCATCACTTCCCTGGCCACCTGCCCCTGTCCGCCACAGCCCTTAGGACTTCCTGTGACCCGGCCTGCACTGCGCAGCTGTATCTGTGCTCAGGCGCCAGGTGTGACGGATGGACAGACGCCTGCATCCCCATGGGGCGAGCTCAGAGTGGAGCAGCAAAGTGGACCCCCCGGCTTCGAACGGCCTGTCCCCTACGCCCACGCCGCCTGCCAGCACTGCCCTCTGTGGGTGCCCCGGAGCCACTAGAAGTTACCATTTGGTTCTTCAGGGCCCCCTCGAACCGGAGTCCCCGCTGACACGAGCCCCGGCCGTCGATCACAACCACAGCGTAGCCCAAGGACGCCAGCGTGTTGAGCCGCAGGTACTTGATGCCCTTGAAGGAGTTATTCACCAGCTGCACCTGCAGGTGGTGAGGGGGGCGGGGCGGTGTGGGCCGGTGGAGGTGCGGCAGGACGGCTGGGCAGTGCCAGCTGCTGGTGGGATGGGGGCGGGGCAAGAGGGCCTTAAAGGCCTTTGCACAAGGCTGTGGGCAGCCCTGAAGGCTCCAGACACTTGGGGAGTGACGAGGGCACACAGGGCCCCCGTGCACTGGGGCTGTGCTTGGGGCACACTTGGGAGGGAAGGCCCCACTGGGCTCCCTGCCAGGTGTCTTCCCTGGGTCCTGTGGGCCCTGGGCCAGATCCTTCCCTGGGTGGGGCTATCCCGGGGACTGCAGGGTATGAGCAGAGTCCCTGGCGTCCGCCTTCTCCATGCCAGGAGCACTCCCAGTTGCGACACCACGCACGTCCCCAGACATTGCCAAGAGAGCCCCTTCCCCCGCCTGACAGAGGCGTACCTGCCAATCTGCCCCCTGGTACCGACCCCTGCTCAGGGAACGGGGCCCAGGGAGGAGCACTTCTGGCCCAGGCTGGTGACCAGGGGCCTTCCCAGAGGGGCAAGGCAGAGTCGGCAGCCCAAGGGGAGGGAGGCCGTCCGGGAGGCAGGAGAACTCAGCGTGGTCGTGACGGAGCAGGCGCGACCCAGGCGGCCCCTCTGCCCTCGCCCGGGTCCCGAGGGGCAGACCAGACACCCACCTGAGGGCCTCCATACACGAAGAGGACGGTGGGATGCTTCTTCCCTGGCTGCACCGCGTGCGGCTTGTAGATCATGCCGTAGAGCTGCACGTCGGTGCGCGTGTGGAAGTGGAAGATCTCAGGGGGCACGTAATCTGGGGGGCAGCCTGCAGAGACAGAGTGCTGGGCTTGCAGGGAGCCCCAGCCGGTGGCAACCTTGCTGCAAGCCTCAGAGGGGCACCCCTCTTCTCTGGGGCTTCCCACGGTTGACGTCAGAATCGGGGGCCAGAGAGGCTTGAGGCGGCAGACGCAGAGCTCGGGGGCACAGACAGCCCAGGAGTTCCCTGGCAGAAGCCGGCGCCCCTCCCGCTGCCCTCCTGGCCCCGCCCCCGGCTCCCCAGGAGGGAGGCTCAGGTGCAGGTTGGCAGCCCAAGGCCTGCTGACCTCCAACGGAGGACGACACTGCTGGGACTCTTTTTTTTGAAGTTGGAGTTTCACTCTGTCGCCCAGGCTGAAGCGCAGTGGTAAGCTCATCTCATGGCCACCGCAGCCTCTACCTGCTGGGCTCAGGCAATCCTTCCGCCTCAGCCTTCCAAGTAGTTGGAACTACAGGCGTTCGGCTAGTTTTTTGATTTATTGCAGAGTCGAGGTCTCACCAAGTTGCCCAGGCTGGTCTCGAATCCGTGGGCTCAGGCAATCCTCTCGCCTCCACCTCCCAAAGTGCTGGGATTACAGGCGTGAGCCACCATGCCCGGCTACAACCTAACTTTATGTCTGCTTCTCATGGACTTCTAGGGTCACTGCTCTGTTTCAAGCAACAGTGGCTGCCCACGTGTGGAGGGGGTCAAGAGCTTTCTTCAGAAATGCTTGCTCGGATACACTTGGGAGGGAAGGCCCCACTGGGCCTTGGGTGTATCTATTTACAGAAAGACAGGGAAAGGGAAGGCAGTCAGGGTCTGCAGATATGTCCTTTGAAGGGCCAGGTCGTAGTGTTTTCAGCTCTGTGTGTCTGTGTCATCTGTTAGAAGCACTAAAGTGGCCACGCGCCATGTGACTGAGTGGGCCTGGCCAGATGCGGCTGTGGTTTGCCAACTTTGAGCCCGGGCCCGGCCCGGATCAGTTTTGGGAAATGCTGTCCTCATCTCCCCAGAGCACCCGAGTTCTGCTCCCTGCCCCCGCCACCGCTGGGCTGGGTGTCTTGGCAAGCCCCTCCCTGGCCTCAGCTTGCTCATCTGCAAAGCCAGGGTCCACGTCTCTGAGGAGTGAGCTCACGGGGAGGAGGCCTCGGATCTGCTTCTGCTCCAGGGCTGGCGGCACCACAAAATGTTTATCAGCCCACAGGACTCCCACAGGTGCCATGATTCTCGTTTTCTAGAATGTTCTAGAAACCCACCCACATGGGCCAGGGTAGGTTGTTCCTTTTACTGAATGATCCCTGGCCACCTGGGAATGTGCCCAGTGTTGAGTCTTTTGCTCTAGGCACCTTGTATTATTTCATAAAGAGGCATTTCAGAGCCAGAACTGGAAGCCAGGGTTCCCCCATACAGGATCCTGGCTGACCTCCCGGCACTCAAGCAAACCGCCACCCACCTCCTTTCCCCACGGCCCTCTCGTGACTGACCCTACGGCAGCCTTGGCAGGTCTGCTCTGAGCAGGCACTACTGTGGGCGGTGGCTCTGGGTGCAGGGTGCCTGGGGGGACGGCAGAGTGAGGGGCCCGAGAACCACGGCAGGGCTTGAGCTGGCTCGAGGGACTGGGAGCCCATCTGCCCTTGTCCAGGTGTTGGCCTGCCGCCTTCCCCCTGGCCCAGGAGCTCCTGAGGGAGGACAGGGCTGTGTCCCGTGGCCACCCGACAGATGCTGGAGTCCCTGCCGGATCCCCGCATGGCACGGCCCTTTCCTGCAGCTCAGCGCCCACAGACGTGGAGGCCACTGGCTGTGTTCTATGACAAGTCCTCGGGCCCTCGGGAAGGCCCGGGGGCCAGGGCAGGCCCAGCTGACTGGCTCAGGGCGCTGCCTCTGGCCCCAGCAGGGCTCGCCCATGCGGGGCAGCTGGGCTATGTCCCACCTTACAGAGGGGCAAGCCGAGGCTCTCGGGAAGGGCGGGGGTACTCACTGGCAGCCTCCATCATGCTGGCCCAGAAGCGGGGCTGCTTGTGCAGGGGGTCGTCGTCAGGGCCGCTCAGCTTGTAGACGTGCACACAGGGTGGCGTGTTCACGCTGCTGTAGTGGCTGACGAACATGTCGAAGTTCTGCAGGTGGGGCGGGCGATGCTGAGCACCGAGGGGCACCGAGCACCACGCGACACTGCGGTGTCCCCGCCCGTGCCCGCGTCGCTTCCCTCCCCCACTCCGACCCCTCTGTCCACGCCTTCGCCGCCTGAGTCCTAGCCCTCATGGACGATGGGCCATGTCCCCTCTGCTCGCTTCTGTGACCCCAGGGCCCTGACAGGCCTGTCCGTGTGAGGCGGGCACTGCTGCCGAGCCCAGCTGCCTGGCCTGCACACCTCGCTGGTTCTGCAGTTGGCAAACTGCTGCTCTCACTGCGGGCCAGGGGTGGCCCTCTGCACGGCTGCTGCCTCATGTTCTAGACTGTTCCAAGAGGCCAAGAGCCACAGCCCTTCCCACAGAGTGGCAGCACCCAGGCTGCGGGCACCACGGTCAGGGACGTCACGCCCTTCAGGGACATCACGCCCTTCCCTGCTGTCAGGGACGTCACGCCCTTCCCTGCTGGGCCTGGGAGGCAGGGGGGTCCTGCCCATCCCTGGGCAGCTGTGAGGAAGACTGTGGCGGGGATGGGGCCCACCTGGCTCATTGAGCAGCTGTGGGAGAAACCGGGCGTGGTGAGGCGCACGACCTCCCCGGGGGACTCGTAGCTGGCCACGTAGAGGTGGTGCTCCAGCGGCGTGTCCTTGGTGCCCTGGAAGTACACCAGCTTGGTCTCCTCGTTGACCCAGATCTGCAGGGAACAGGGGTCCTCGCGACAGGCCCAGACCCAGCCAGGTTTCTCAAGCCTTCCTGTCCCTCGGCAGCCCCGCCCCGCGATCTGGGACGGGGACTTGCCCCACCCAGGCCTGGCTTGAGCAGGAGGGGAACCGCCCAGGTTGGGCTGAGCTGAAGGGATGTGGTGCCGGCAGGCCAACTCTGGGCTTGAGCCAGGACGGAGGCTGGGGGCCCCGGCAGGCCTGGCCTGGGCAGCCGCCTTGGGTCCAGGCACTCACGCTCACAAGTGCCAGGGCCCCACCGCCCACAGCCAGCCCCATTGTGGTTCTTGAATGCGGTGCCCAGGGGGGCGGGACCCTCCTGCTTGAAGGCCCCGCAGGCTCCTTCCACACGCGCTTGGATGCCAACAGTCTCAGAGACAAATGCAGTATAGAGGTGCGACCTTGACCAGGGCTCGAAAAGGAGCCAGGAGGGGCAGACCCTGGGTCAGAGGACCTGCTCTCGCCCCCAGTGTGGGTGGAAGGCACTGCTTGTGCCCGGCCTGATGGCCATCAGAAGCAGCAGAGGCCTGGGATGACCAGAGGCCCCAAGAAAGGAGACAAGGACAAGGAGCCTACCGGGTGGGGGATGGCGGGACACAGGCTTGCAGAGGCTTGAACAGGGCTCATGTGTGCAGCAGGGATGCCCTCCCCGACCTGGCAGGGCAGAGGCCAGGCCCCTCGAAAGGGCATGCCCTTTGACCTAGGAATTATGCTCCTGGAAACCCATTCTAAGGAATTCACCTGAAAGGGTTTTTTAAGCTTTGAAAGTGGTAATGATTTCAACGTGCAAAAAAGACAGGCCTGGTTCCATTATTACAGCACAACTCTCCTGTGGCCAAGGAAAACCCTGTTTTGTTTTGTTTTGTTTTGTTTTTTAAAGCGATACAGTCTCACTATGCTGCCCAGGCTGGTTTCAAACTCCTGGGTTCAAACAATCCTTCTACCTTAGCCTCCCAAAGTGCCAGGATTATAGGCATGAGCCACCCACCGGGCATGACTAATATCCTATTTTTGAAAAAAGCCCACACACCCCTAAATCAACAATGGTATGTATTCCTCACGGGGACCGTCGGTGGAAAAGACAGCGGCGACTGCCTGAGGGGGAAGAGGCGTTGGGCAGGTGCGGTTCAGAGCGGCCTCTGATGAGGCTTGTCAGGAATGACTTGATTTTACAACACTGACATGTTTGTGTGACCCGTTCGTAGGCCAGGGTCCCAGAAACAGAGGTTGTTCTTGGAAAAGACACATCCACAGGTGGCATGTGCTGGTTTCATCACCAGGACAGGCTGGGAAGCTCTCTGCAGGTGTTGGGACCCCAGACAGGGCCTTCCTGGGCTGCCTCCCCGCACACAAGGCCCACGGAAGCACAGGGCCACAGATAAGACTTTGGAGGACATGCTTCCTCCTTCTCAACTTCTAAAATGCTTCTGCTCACATTTTTCTCAACTCCAGGATAAGAAGATACAGCGTGTGAGCGGCAAACATCCAGACGACACAGAAGGTTCTACCAGCGGCTTGTGGACAGCAGATGCCGTGCTGAGGGCTTCAGGTCATTTTGAAGTCGAGTCCTTGCAAGGTGTGTGGGTGAGATTGTGCCCCCTAGAGGATGCCCTCTAGGGGACCTCCTGCCACGGAGGGGGTGGAGGCCAGGGACTCTGCTCGGCAGCCTGCAGCGCCCAGGGAATGACCCAGCCTTGGTGTCCACAGCGCCCGGAGGAGAGACCCTGCCGTAAGAACAAAGCCTGAGAGCCACCTCATGTTCCCATTCTACGGATGCGGGTCTTGGACGGCACCCGCAGCACGGCAGCCTCAGCAGAGCCATGGTGAGCTGGTGGCCACCGCCCACCGCATCCCCTTCTGGGGCCCAGCCTCCCTCCCGGCACCTCATGCACAGAGACGCGGGGTGGGACAGTCAGCAAAGCCTCTGTGCTGCGCTTTCGCCGCTTTCTGTATCTCTGGGACCTCAGCACTGTCCTTCCCGGCTGTGTCGGCACCGAAGGCCCATCCGGCATGACCTCCACGTTGCCTGTGCTCACGAGTCACGTTTCCACGCATGTGTCTGCGTGCCCGTCTTGGGCGCTCTGGGACGACCTCGCAGGGTCAGATGAGAGGCACGTAGATGCCACAGCAGAGGCTGTCTCCGCGGCCCAGAGAGGCTGAGCCATCCTGCCCAGCTGTGCCTCTCACTGGCCCAGGCAGGGGCATGCCAGTGTCTCCACCTCCAGACTGTGAGGACGGCCGCCTGTGTCCTGCAGGCCTCTCCCAACGCCTGTCCTGCATGTTTACGTCTTTGGTCCAGGAGGCGTCTGTCCTGGGTCAAGAGGGTCCAGAAAGCTGATTCAGGAGGCCTGCTGTACAACTTGGGATTCTGTGGAGCTGGCTAGTGAAGACTCTGGGCAGATGCCAAGCCTGCAACGTGTGCGTGTCCACAACGGCGTCTGGGGAGGTGACGGCCTCTTCTGCAGGCGTACTTTGTGGTGGTGTGGTGTGGCTGGAAGCTGCGTGACAACTCCAGGGGTGGTGGGCGTGTTCTGACTACCTGCACTCTGGTAGGAGAGGCGCCTTCTGGTGGCTCCAGCCTGTCATCCCAGCACCTTGGGAGGCTGAGGTGAGGGGACTGCCTGAGCCCAGGGGTTCGAGAACAGCCTGAGCAACTTGGTGAGACCTCATCTCTACAATAAATTAAAAAACTAGCCGGGCATGGTAGCATGTGCCTGTAGTTCCAGCTACTTGGAAGGCTGAGGTGGAAGGATTGCCAGAGCCCAGCAGGTTGACACTGGTGGCCCTGAGTGTGCCACTGCACCCCAGCCTGGGTGACGGAGTGAGACTCCAAGCCAAAAAAAAAAAAAAAAGAAGAGGCAGTTTCACAGAGTGAAAGGAAGCGGACAGAACCCCAGGTGGGTGGGGATCAGGCTGGGCCCTGCCCTGGCATCCTACGGCCCAGCCAACTGCCCTGGGTGGGGATGGGCACTGAGTCGCAGTGTCCAGGAGGGCCCAGCTTCTCTCCAGCTGTTAGCCACAACCTGGCCTGGCGCTGAGGCCATGTGGAGGGTCAGATCAGAGCAGGCAGAAGGGGAGAAGAGAGGCCACAGGCCTGCGGGGGGCACATGTGCACCCATGTGACATGCGCAACACGTGTGTGCGCACACGTGTGCCCACGTGACGTGCGTGTGTGAGGGACAGGGAAGAGCTGGGAGGAGATAGTACCTTGGAGCCGTGCCTTGCCAGAACCTCCCACTCGCCGCTGGTCAGCGCAATCTCCTCCTTAATGGGGCACTTAAATTCATCTGGAAGTACGGAAAGGAAGAAGGTGAAGGGACCCAGGAGGTGACGCAGGCACCCACAGGCACCCAGGCCAGATTCCCCTGAGCAGACCCCCAGCAGCCACTGCATCCCTGGCTGGCAGCAAACTCGGACATCAGCAGGGCCACAGGACTGGATCCCGCCACGTGGACCGCAGGTCCAGCGCTTCCAGGAAAACCAGAACTCTGGGTTTGTATCAGAACCCCCCCATTTTAGAACCCTTTGAAGGCCACACAGCATTCGGGGGGTGGCATGGAGTACAGAGGAGCCACCCCAGCAGGACAGGCTGGGATCGTGCAGGGAGAGGCTGGCTGGGACAGAGACGCAGGGTTTGGTGACAGCTTTCTGGGAGAAAGGAAACCCTGCTTCTGCGTTTTCCCCTGGTCAATGACGGCACTGCCCAGTTGTATGCTGGCATGGGCGGACACACGAGGCTGTCAGCGGGCAGTGGCTGACCTCCTCAGCCTTCCAGGTCTAGAGCGCCTGCTGTTGATCTCGGAGACGGATGGCTCAGAAGGAACAGACAGAAGCCTCTCCTGGTGGACCTAAGCTCTGGTGGACCACTTGAGGTGGCAAAACTTCAGCGTGTGGAAAGGGGGCTCCCACCGGCCCCATGACGAGGGTCTAGCCTGAGTGCCGGATCTGGCGCCGCTTGGTCTCACTGCCTCGCCCTGTAGCCACCATCCAGGAGACGCGTGGTGCACGCAGGGGCCCCGACGCAGGCCCGAGTGGGGTGCTGGGAAGCCCTGTGCCCACAATGACGGCCAAAGTCACCTGAACGCACGCGGCAGCCTGGAGGGTCCATGCCCTGGCTGAGCAGAAGCTGTTGTGGGCTCCAATCCATGATCATGGGGCCTGGTGGTGGCGTTCAGAGCCATCTCAACGGAGGAGGAAGGAGGCCCCGAGCGGAGTCCGAGACAGGGTGGGGCGGCCGATGGAGAGAACGCCGGCAGGTGGAGGATGCGCCCACCGGGGACGGCTCAGTCTGGGATGGCCGCATCTGACCCCACGGGAGGACCGCACTGCCGCCCGGGCAGGGGTCACGTCTCCATCTGTGCCTCACTCAGCTCCTCGGAACTTTGTGGCATCGCCTTTCCCTGGCGTCTTCGCCCAGCTCCTGCACACCCTTGGCTTTGGCTGCCTCGGGCAGGTGGGTGGGCCCTGCCTCCACGCTGTGGGCTCACCTGGGCATGTCCCGGGGGGCCGTGGGGTCACGCCTGGGACGTGTGGGTGTTCTAACTGAGGGTGCTGCTGGCACGAAGTGGGGGAGCCCAGGGCGCTGCTCACGCCCTGCATGCCCAGGGCGGGCCACTCAGAACGACCTGGCCTTGAGTTCGCAGGCTGGGAAGCCCCACTCCCAGCTTGAAGAGCACCGGCTCAGCTCTGACCACACGGTCTCCCCCCAGATGCGTCCCCTGGAGCCCAGTCCCGCCGTGGGTCCATCCCGCCCTGAGCTCTGGGCACGTACGCACGGACACACACACACACCCCAAAACACGCCCAGCCCAAACTCGGACTCCTCTCCTTAACGGGCCCTCTCGGAGTCTGTCACACCAGAGAACATTCTGGCGTCCACGCTGCTTCCTCAGGCCCTCACACATTCTTTGGCAAGTGTGTCAGCTCAGCCATCAGAGCACACCCTGAACCAGATCCATGGGGACAGCTCAGCCACCGCCACCGCCACCACTGCAGCCCTCATCCTGTCACCTCTCCTCGCCCCTCAGCCTGCGCACCACAGGCAACCAGAGGAATCCTTGTAAACCAGTGTGAGAACGCTGACTTCCTGCTGCCCCCAGGGCTAGCCCCCTGCGGCCCACCATAACCCGCCCTGTCCCCTCCTGCCCTCCCCTCCTCGTCTTCCCTCTGCTCCAGGCATGGCCCTGCCCCAGGGCCTTTGCACAGGCTGTGCCCTCTGCCTGGAGTGCGCCGGGTGACCCTCACCGCCTCCTACAGGTCCCGTGCCACAGCAAGCAATTCGGAGACGCCCTCCTGACCCCTTGTTCTAGAACGCAAGCGCTCCCTCTAGCCCCTCACCCTACTGCATTTCCTTCTGCCATGCTCCTCACGCCAGAGATGGCATCTTTCACTGTGTTTGGATCGTTGGCTGGCTCCCCTACTAGAACATTCCACGAGACAGGGTTTTCTTTTCGGCTTTTTGAGTGGCGTCTCACTCCGCTGCCCAGGCTGAACTGCAGCGGCGTGACTGTGGCTGCCAGAGCCTTCACCTTCAGGGCGCGGGCGATCCTCCCTCCTCAGCCTCCTGTGTTTCTGGGACTACAGGGACGTACCACCACGCCCGGCTAGTCGTTTATTTTTTGTAGAGACAAGGTCTTGCTATGTTACCCAGGCTGGTCTCGAACTCCTGGTCTCAAGCAACCCTCCCGCCTCGGCCTCCCAAGGTACTGGGACTGCAAGCATGAGTACAGCATCCAGCCTCTCTTCTTTTTTACGACTCTGTCCCTAGCACCTGCAGCAGAGGTCGGCAGCTTCTTCTACAAAGGGCCAGAGAATGAATATTGGTCGCTTTGCCAGACAGTTTCCCTTGAGGCTACTCAACTTGGCAGCTGGGGCAGAAAAGCAGCCGGGGACCTGTTTATGAGTGGGCGTGGCCTTGTGCCGGTCACACCTTCTTTATGGAAACAGCTGGCGTCCAGACTTGACCTGCGGGCTGTACTATGCCAACCTCAGTTGTGCAAGGGCCTGGCATGTAGTAGGTGCTCAGTAAATCCTGTTGCCTGCAGGTGGCTACTCCAACCCTGGTAGGTCCTGAGTGGCCTGCAGAGGGGGCGGCTTCCTACCCACCCTGTCCCCTCCCTGGGGCCGCACAGTCAGCAGGGCCCACGTTCACGGTCAGTGAACCAACGGCGTACTGAGCCCCAGTGTTGGGGCGTTCCAGCTCTGCTCACCTTCCCCGGGGCTGAGGGGCTCAGTCCAGTCATAGCCTTTGGCTTTCAGGACAGCCGTGACCCTGTACAGATGGCAGAAGCCGGTCTTGCACTCGTTGGCGCGGAGGAAGCAGAGCTCCTCCTGGCCCTCGGACTGGGGGAAGGGGTAGAAGATGTCGTGGACCTGCGGGGGGTGGGGGGGAGGACATTAGAAGGGGGTGACGAGGCTCGGTGCCGGCCAGTCCCCCCACCAGCCGCTGCTTCATGCAGGGGAAGGTCTGCCCGCCCCTTACGTTGATCCAGACGTGGGTGACCTCCTCGTATACCACATGTGGCTGGACGTGCCTGGGAACAGCTCGCGCCAAGACCAGCCGCTGCTCCTCGCTCTCGGGGGTTGGGATGAACAGGGCGGGGGGCAGGAGGACGAGCTGGAGCCGCTGCTGCGGCCGGTCCAGGAACATGGCCCAGGCGCTGGGGGTGCGGAGGGAGGGCGGGAGCCTCAGCGGCCTGCGGGTGGAGTGGCGCACAGCGTCCGCCCTCCTGGCCGGTGAGTCAGGGCTGGGCTTCCCCTGCCGGCGTCCCCTGCACTTGGCCAAGGGGCCCGCGCTCACGTGGGCGTCCTTCCTCACACAAGTTTAGAGGATAACAAGAAATTGTTAGAGCTTGACAATTTCTCCTCTGCATGGACTCATCGGCCCACGGTGCTATCCTTTACTTCCTATGCTGCTTTATATGGACGGTTTTTCATTTATTTTTAACTTTTTGGTACAGACAAGGTCTCACTATGTTGCCCAGGCTGGTCTCGAACTCCTGACCCCAAGTGATCCTCCTGCCTCGGCCTCCCAAGAGCTGGGATTACAAGCGTGAGCCACCATGCCTGGCTGTAAGCAGACACTTCTTTTTCCATAAAACAGGGCCAGACACTAAATATTTTCAACTTTGTGGGCCACAGTGCCTCTCACAGCTACTTAACTCCAACACTATAGCAAAACAGTCACCAACGATGACTGTAAACAGATGATCATGGCAATGCCCCAATAAAGCTGTAATTACAGTCACTGAAATGCGAATTTCATGACCATTTCCATTTTTTTAAAAAGACAGGGTCTCATTCTGGTACCCAGACTGGAGTGCAGCCGTGCAATCATAACTCATTGCAGCCTTGACCTCCTGGGCTCAAGTGATCCTCCCACCTCAGCCTCCCAAGTAGCTGGGACTAAAGGTGCATGTCACCATGCCCAGCTGAATTTTATATCATTTCCATGTGTGATAAAACATTCTCCTCGGGTTTTGCCCCTGCCCATTTAAAAAAATCATTCTGAGCTCAGGGAACATACGAACACAGGCAGCAGGCCCGACTGGCCACTGTGGCCTACAGCCCTGGTTCAGAAGGGGCTGGGGACATCTCTCCCTAACAGAGGCGAGGGGGCTGGGAGGCGAGTCCCAGGTAGTACTGCCACATCATGGCTTGGGGCGTCTCACCCCTGGGCCTCTGGCCACCCGAGATCACATCTGCAGGGCTGAGCCCCTTTGGGAAACTTGGTCACCATGTCCTGGGGGCACCAACGCCAGGACTGAGAATCCAGCTCGGGATCCCCTCTGGCTGGGGTTAGGGGGAACCTTTGGGAACAAGGGAGGCAGGGAGTGTGCCCTTTTCAGGAGGATGCGGCAAATGTGTGAGCAGATGGAGCCGCGGGCAAGGCTGATGGCGGTTCTGGGGCCCAGCCAGGTCCCACCCGCCCTCGACCCTGGGCCCCATCGGCAGACACTCACTATTTGCCGTCCCGGGTCCACCCCGCCCTGGCGATGTACTCCACCCTGGGGAACAGCGAGCTGAAGGGCTGCACCAGCTCCTTCTCCCGGGCCGAGACGATCTAGGGGGAAAGAAACGTGGTCACACCGGCCGAACAGTGAAGCCCCAGACTCACACCAGGGAGCCTGGACCCCCAGGGCCTCGGAACGTGGCCTCCTTTGGAAACAGGGAAGGTGGAGATGCACTGAGCTAAGAAGAGGTCGTGCTGGAGTGGGGCGGGCCTGACCCAACGTGACTGGTGTCCTCGTGAGAGGGGGAGGCATGGACACAGACACGCCCAGGAGACTGTCTTGTGCAGACACAGGGAGAAGATGGTCACCCACGCCAGGAGGGGCCTCAGGAGAAGCCGCCTGCCAACGTTCTGTTCTGTCATTTACTCTCCACGACCCTGAGACAGCACCTGCTGTCTAAGCACTCAGGTGGGGGCTCTTGGCCATGGCAGCACCCCCGCTGTGCCTGACACCAAAGTCTCTGGTCTGTGCTATCCCTTAGAGTCAGGTGGCCTCTGGACCCAGGGTTTCCTCGAGCCTGGTGGGCTGGTGTGGCCTCCACAGGGGGGACAGAGGTTCTGCCCATGGAGGGGGGCGGGACCTGGGGCTCGAGCAACAGAGTGGGTCACCAGCCTCACATCCTCAAGCTCCCGGGTGTGACTGGCATCACCCACACCCGCCTCAGGACCCTGCAAGTGCAAGAAGGTGAAGAGCCACGGAGAACAGCCTGGTGGGTGGTTTCATGAAGGTCACCAGCAAAGTCACTTAGGGCAGATCTGCTTAAAACCCGCTGGAATGTTCCAGTCGAGAGTGCAAAAGGAAGCTGGGTGCAGTGGCTCACGCCTGCAATCCCAGCACTTTGGGAGGCTGAGGCAGGAGAACTGTTTGAGCCTGAGAGTTCGAGACTAGCCTGGGCAACACAGCAAGACCCCATCTCTAAAAAATTTTTTTAAATTAGCCTGGGCCAGGCGTGGTGGCTCACGCCTATAATCCCAGCACTTCGGTAGGCCAAGGTGAGAAGACTGCCTGAGTTCAGGGGTTCGAGACCAGCCTGGGCAACTTGGCAAGACGATATGGCTACAATAAATAAATAAATAAATAAAGCCAGGCTCAGTGGCTCAGCCTGTAATCCCGCACCTTCGGGAGGCTGAGGTGAGTGGACTGTCTGAGCCCGCGGGTTCGAGACTCACCTGGGCAACTTGGCAAGACCTCATCTCTACAATAAATCAAAAATCAGCTGGGCGTGGTAGCGCGCGCCTGTAGTTCCAGCTACTTGGAAGGCTGAGGCGGAAGGATCGCTGGAGCCCAGCAGGCTGAGGTTGCGGTGGCCGGGAGTGGCCACTGCACTCCAGTCTGGGTGACAGAGTGAAACTCCAACTCAAAAAAATAAATAAATAAATAAATAAATAAATTAGCTGGGCATGGTGGCGGGTGCCTGTAGTTCCAGCTACTTGGAAGCCTGAGGTTGCGGTGGCTGTGAGCGTACCACTGCACTCCAGCCTGGGCGACAAGGTGAGACTCTGACTCAAAAGAAAAAAAATTAACCTGGCATGGTGGTGCACATCTGCAGTCCCAGCTAATTGGGAGGCGAACGCAGAAGGATAGCCTGAGCCCAGCAGGTCGAGGCTGCAGTGAGTTGTAATCATGCCACTGATCTCCAGTCTGGGTGACAGAGTTAGACCCCCCCCAACTCAAAAAAAAAAAAGAGTACAACAGAGATCTGGTGAGGGCCTAACTGTGTCAAAAACAAAGCCTAGCCCCTCAAGCTATGAAAATAGGTGTCTTATCTTCCACACTTCCCTGGAATACATATGCAAATGCACACGAGGGCCTGGCTAACCCAAGCTCTCGTCTTCTAAGGTAGGGCCAGGGCCTCTCTGGATGCCTGGCATCCCCGGGGTTGATGTCCTCTCTGCCCTGCCTCTCTGGTCCAGGCCTTCTGTGAACCGTCCTCTAACTTGATGTTGCTTAACTTCACCAGCCCCCGTGGCCTGTGGCATTGACAGCCTCCCAAGAGCCTCGCCTCACAGGGCTGTCAGAGGGCCCAGGGAAGGCAGGGCCTGACGGCTGGGAGGATGTGCCAGGCTGGCAATGGGTGGTTGAAGGGTGGGGAGAGGGAAGCAAGATCACAGGGGTTTGCTGCCAGTGGAGGTGTCACTTTGGGGCAGTGACACTTCTTGCTGCCTGACACTGTCTCACGGCGGTGGGGTCCTTTGGGATGACCCCTTGGCACTCATTGCCGATGGGGCAGCAGAGAGATGAGTCTGGAACGCTGCCCAGCCCGCCACAGAAGACGGGTCCAGCGAAGCGACGAGGGAGGGTCTGCCCAATGCCAGGCGGGGATGCCCTGCCTGGGCTGAGGCATCTGTCCCACGGCTTCTCATCCCGGAAGCCCGGGGAGGGGAGTCCTGGACCTGCCCTCACCTCCCTCCTCGGGAAGCCTGCAGCCCTCTCATCCCCGGGTGACCACTGAAGCTCGTTCATGACCGTGGCCATTGCCTGGGGCTCACAGCCCCTGGGAAGCAGGTGAGGCCCAGTGTACCACACCTACATCACAGACAGAGGTTGAGGCACAGGGAATGCCCACGGCCAGGCAGACGGGGGGCAGCGCTGGGCCCCAGCTGGGCTCAGGAGTGCGCCTGCATCTGGGCCCGTGTCCAGGAGGAAGGAGAGGGGCCTGCCTCCCCGGCTCCTCCCACTTCATCCAGAAGCTTCTCCAGGACGCCGGGCCCCTTACCTTGCCCTGACTGTCCGTCTGGAACTCGGCCAGCTTCAAGGTGATCTTGGGATTCTTGCTGCCTGCAAAAATGGAAGCGTGCTGAGCACTGGCATGGATCGCCTGTGTGGGGCCAGGGCCACGGGAACACCCGGAGAGGTGGAACAGCCCGTGAGGCTACGGGAGAGACCAGGTGGTCCGCCTGTGTCCACAGGCATATCCCCCTCCCTGATGACGAGCCCTCAGGCGGGAACCACATCCCTAATGGTGACGTGGAGTTCAGCTTCAGTGTTCAAGACACAGGCCAGGCCCGGTGCCGGGAGCAGGGCTTGAGGATGACACAGACACAAGAAGATGCCATCCTCACACCTGGAGAGCCCTGCAGGGCTGCCAAGGTTGAGGCAGCACAATGAAACCACTGACGATGCACAGGCGCGGCAAGCACCCCACGTAACACAGAAGCTCGTGCTAGACGGCAGGGCTGAGCCCTTGGGAGAAGACGGCTGTAGGCTGGGGCTCCCCAAGAGGGCACAGCCCATAGTAGGGCAGAAACAGCTGACGTTTCCCAGTTAGAACTACGGCAAATCTCAACTCCAGCCCTTGCAGCTCTGGCGCCCTGAACAGGCGACATCTCTGAGCCTCAGTCTTCCCATCTGTCAAATGAGGGGGAAGAGACTGGCTTGGCCCATCTGCAGTCAGCGGGGATTGGAAATGTTACACAGAAGCTTCTATCCAGCACAGCACAGAGTATGTGCTCGTGAGACGTCAGCAATGACAACTGTCTTACAGACACCACAGAAACTGCAGACACAGGGCCTGAACACCAGATCCAGTCTGCGTGTGTGTTCTGTTTGGCTCAGGAGGCATTTAAAAACAATTCAAGGCCAGGCTCGGTGGCTCAGCCTGTCATCCCAGCACTTTGGGAGGCCGAGGTGAGGGGATTGCCTGAACCCACGGGTTCGAGGACAGGCTGAGCAACTTGGCGAGACCTTGTCTCTATAATAAATCAAAAAAATTAACTGGACATGGTAGCAAGCGCCTATAGTTCCGGCTACTTGGAAGGCTGAGGTGGAAGGATCGCCGGAGTCCAGCAGGTTGACGCTGAGGTGGCCGGGTGCATGCCACTGCGCTCCAGCCTGGGCAACGGAGTGAGACTCCAACTCAAAGAAAAAATTTTTTTGAGATGACTCCCTGGTGACAAGATTTCACGTGTAAGTTTGGATTTGTGACTTCTCTTGACAAGGTGGGCAAACTCAAGTCTGTGTTCTTCCAAGGTGACGAAGACTTTCCCCCACATCCTCCCCAGCTCCTCTGCCTTCAGGGCTCTAGGGCAGAACCTGGTTGCCTTTGACCCAGATGCTTTGCCTGGTTCCGAGGGATAACCGAGGAAGCCAGGACCACAGACAGGTGAGCAGGGGAATGACGGGAAGGCCTGGGAGCGGAGAGGCAAATGCTGTGTCCTGTGCAGCTGTACTGGGGTCAGCAAGCCACAGCACGAGGGTCAAAAACCATGTGCCTGCTTCAGTATGGCTAAAAATCTTTCTTGTGTTTTTAAATTAAAAAAAAAAAAAAATCACAAGAAACAAGTTTTAGCCAGGCGCGGTGGCTCACGCCTATCATCCCAGCACTTTGGGAGGCCAAGGCTAAAGGATTGCCTGAGCCCAGGGGTTTGAGACCAGTCTGGGCAACTTGGCGAGATTTCGTCTCTACAATAAATTTTTAAAAAATTAGCTGGGTGTGGTGGTGCACGCCTATATTCCAGCTACTTGGAAGGCTGAGGCAGAAGGATCACCTGAGCCCAGCGGGCAGAGGCTGGGGGGGCCATCATCATGCCCGCACTCCAGCCTGGGCGACAAAACAAATCGAAAACCAAAGAGTTGCATTTTGTCACATGCAACCTGCATTTGGATCCTCCTTTACGACTCAAGCTCAAGCTCAACAGCCCTCCAGGCACGCAGCCACGCCCAGCCAGTGCTTGCTGTGCTACAACTGCAGAGGCAGGCAGGGGACAGAGACTCTCCAGCCGGCAGCCTGACCGATCTCTGGGCTTACACTACATGAGGCCGGGGTTGGCCCGGAGAGGGGGGCATCGACCCAAGGGCAGGAAGCTCCTCCTGCATCCCCACAGGTGTCCAGGGCACACGCAGCCCCCAGCCGCCACCTGAAGGCCCAGCCTGCTGGTGCGGCCCCGCCTAGCCGGCACTCACCTGTCCTGGGGTAGCGGTAGGAGTCCGTCTTCCTCTCCTCCAGCGCGGGCGAGGACACATGGATGACCTCCACCTCAGACTCGTCGGCTTCCTCGTATAAGATGCGCAGTGTCTTGAGGCCCTCTGAACCTGGGGGGGCAGGGCGCTGAGGGTGCCAGAGGCCCTGCCACTGCCCTTCCCCCTGTGGCACGGGGGTCCTGTGCCCCCACGGCTGCACGGCCCGAATCGGGAGCGTGAGCTCTGGCATGCCCTAGACCTGACACCAGCCCCAACTCTCTGGGCCTCAGTTTCCCTACCTGTACAGAGAGAGGGAGAACAGGGCTGTTCCCAGCACGAATCAGCACAGGAGGTGGCCATGTGAGGTGTAACGGGCTGTATGGTATACTTCCCAGCATAACAGGGACAGTTCTCAAAGAGGTCCCTAGGTGCTGGTGTCGAGACTGCAGGGACTATTTTACGTGACAGGAGCAAAGAGCAGAAAAGTACATAGACTAATTCTGGTAGAGCTCTAGGTGGCCCAGGAAGGAGGATCGCTTGAGCCCAGGAGTTCAAGACCAGCCTGGCAACATGGTAAGACCCTGTATCTACAAAAATTAAAGAAATTAGCTGGGCATGGTGGTGCACACCTGTAGTCCCAGCTACTCAGGAGGCTGAGCTGGGAGAATTGCCTAATCCCAGGAGCTCAAAGCTGTGGTGAGCTGTCATGGTGCCACTGCGCTGCAGCCTGAGTGATGGAGTGCGACTGACTCAAAGGAAGAAAAGCAAAAACCAAAGCCCCACATGGGAAGGAACGCTTTTGAAGAACAGGAAGTGACCTACCTTCCCAGGAGGCCGTGGGGCACCACCAGTACCCGGTAAAGCGGTCAAACTCCTCCTGAATGACAAAGGTGGCTACACCTGCAGACTTGGGGTCATCCAGGACATTGGACAGACCTGGAGGGAGGGAACATATTTTGAGGTGAGCAGCGTGCTAACAGGTGGACAGCCAGGAGCTCTCAGGGAAGCACAGAGACAGGGCCTAGGCAGGACTTCCGAGTGCTGAATGGGGCCTTCCTCTGGGCGGGGCTGTCCTGCACTGCAGGGTGTGAGCAGTGCCTCCAGCTCTGGTCCCCCCCAGGCCAGGAGCACCCCCAGGTGTGCTGAGGGAAAGTGCCTCACTTTTAGGAAGCGGGGACCAGGGCCAGGGGACGGGGAGAACGGGATCTGTGGGTCTCTGGGCCATGGCTGGAGTCCCGGAGGTCTCTGGGGAGGGGTGAGGTCACGTCCGGCAAGCAGGGAGTGAGGGGAGCCCAGGAAACAGGTGAGCCTTAAGCCTGACTCTGATGGGTCGGGTGGCAGAGCGGAGGTGGGCAGGGTGGGGGAGTGCTACAGGGCGCAGCGGGCGCCCGTGGAGGGGCCAGGGAACAGTGGCCGGGCTGACGACCGCAGTGGAAAACCACAGACAAGGCTGGGGTTCCGTGGGACTGCTGGAAGGCCCCGGAAGGCCCACCCGGAGGGGGACCGGTGAGGACAGCATGCAGGAAGGTGTGGCCGCGGGGCCAAGCGGGGATGTGGCCGGGCCTTTCCGGAAGCTCGCCTGGCAGCCATGGCAGCCGCCCACGTATGCCGGCCAGGCCTGGCCCGAGGACCCACACGCCGGTCGGTCCCCTGGTGGCCTCACCCTGGTGGCAGAAGGTTAGCCGCCGCTCCTGGCCCGTCTCGACGTTGGCCACCCACAGGTCGCTGTTGTTGACAAAGGAGAAGAAGGCGGGGTCGGCGGGGCAGATCTTGGGGTCCATCCGGGGCCCCGAGCACTGGGTCTTGATCTCCAGCGGCTTCATGGGGGACACCTGGGGACAGAGAGGCGGGGCTCAGGGGGGAGGGGCCGCGAGCCGCCCGCACCCACGAGGCCCGCACCTCACCATGAAGCCGTTCCTGCCCCCGTCGCGGCAGTGGAAGAGGCTGTTGCTGGCCTGGAAGAGGAAGAGGCCGCTCTCGCTGTGGAAGTCGTAGGAGGTGATGCCAAAGACGCCCAGGCGCTTCCGCTCCCGCAGGAGCTCCTCCTCCCGTGAGTAGACCCCGTGGTGGGGCGTGGCCTGGGACACAGGAGACGGCAGTGCTCAGCGTGGAGGCCGAGCTCTGGGGCAGCAGTCCCGCGGCCTGCGCGCTTCCAGGGCACCCGCCTCGGCCTCGCCCGGTGGCTGGGGAGGCTGCACCAAGAGGGAGGCCGAGAGGGAGGCTGGAGGACTGGCTGACCCTCCCAGGTGGTAGCGGGGGGATTCCAGAGCTCACCAGAAGCTTCGTCACTTTTTTTTTTTTTTTTTTTTTTTTTTAGAGCTGGGTCTCGCTATGTTGCCCAAACTGGTCTCATAACCCCCAGGCCCAAGCAATCCTCCCACCTCAGCCTCTTGAATAGCTGGGACTGCAGGTGCCATCATGCCCAGCTAATTTCTTTCTCTCTCTCTCTCTTTTTTTTTTGCAGAGATGAGATCTTGCTGTGTTGGCCAGGCTGATCTCAAAACTCCTGGCCTCAAGCGATCCTCCTGCCTCAGTCTCCCAAAGTCCTGGGACTACAGGCATGAGGCACTGTGCCTGCCACACGCTTCCTCCCTTCTTTTTTTTTTTTTTGAGTTGGAGTCTCACTCCGTCGCCCAGACTGGAGTGCAGTGGCTCACTCCCGGCCACCGCAGCCTCGACCTGCTGGGCTCCAGCGATCCTTCCGCCTCCGCCTTCTGAGTAGCCGGAATTACAGGCACACACTACGTCGCCCGGCTGATTTTTTGATTTATTGTAGAAACAAGGTCTCCCCAAGTTGCCCGGGTGGGTCTCGAACCCACGGGCTCAGGCGATCCACTCGCCTCGGCCTCCCAAAGGGCTGGGATGACAGGCTGAGCACCGAGCCCCTTCCCCAAGGGATCTCTCCACAGCAGATGGTCCCTGGAGTGGTGGTCCTCTCGCCCTGCCACCAGAGCGCTCCCACTCAGTCCCCAGCACTAACCCTATACAGAGCCTCCCTGCCCTGTCCACGCCCTCTTCCCACCAAGAGCATTATCCAAACCTACCCAACACCAGCCATCCATACTTTCTGCAAAGGCACGTGTGTGTGCAAACCCAGGGTCACTGGGACACCCAAATGCCCACCCTGGGGGCTTGGGCAGCTGAACTGTCATGCACACCAGCAGCCATGGGAAAACACTGAAGACCATGTGGGAGAACATCACCGAGAGAAATGCTTTTCTTTTCTTTTTTTTTTTTTTTGAGTCCGAGTCTCACTCTGTTGCCCAGACTGGAGAGCAGTGGCTGCTCCCCGCCACTGCAACCTCGACCTGCTGGGCTCTGGCGATCCTTCCGCCTCAGCCTTCCAAGTAGCCGGAATTACAGACACGCGCCATCACGCCCGGCTGATTTTTTGATTTATTGTAGAGATGAGGTCTCGCTGCCCAGGCGGGTCTCAAACCCGCAGGCTCAGGCAATCCACTCACCTCAGCTTCCCAAAGGCACGGGATTACAGGCTGAGCCACCGAGCCCAGCTAGAGAAACGCTTTTCTTAACACAGAACTAAAAGCAAAGTTACCCCAACATAGTGAAGAAAGTGGCGTAAGTCGAGTTCGTCAGCTTGGGGACCCAAAGGGGAAGGCCAAGGTGAGGACTACTGAGCCAGCAGTGGAGGGACTGGGAGTATGACGTTGGGAGTGTAACATTCTCCATCCATCTTGGTATCTCTCTCTCTCTCTCTCTCTCACACACACACACACACACACACACACACACACACACACACACACACACACTCTCTCTCTCTCTCTCTCTCTCTCTCTCTCTCTCTCTCTCTCTCTCTCACTCTGCCACCCAGGCTGGAGCACAGAGGTGTGATCATAGTTCACTGCAGCCTTAAACTCCTTGGCTCAAGTGATCCCTCCACCTTGGCCTCCTGAATAGCTGGGACTATAGATGCACACCACCACGCCCAGGTAACTTTTTGATTTTTTTGTAGAGACGAGGTCTCTCTGTTGCCCAGGCTGGTCTCGAACACCTGGTTTCAAGTGATCCTCAGGCCTCGGCCTCCCAAAGTGCTGGGATTACAGGCATACGGCACCAAGCCCAGCCTGTTACATTATTTTGACCATTAAAAAGAAATAAAACGCCAGGCTTGGGGGCTCAGGTCTATGATCCCAGCACTTTGGGAGGCCGAGGCGAGAGGACTGCCTGAGCCCACGGGCTCAAGATCAGCTTGGGCAACTTGGCGAGACCTCGTCTCTGCAATAAATCAAGAAAATCAGCCGGGCATGGTGGCACATGCCTGTGGTTCCAGCTACTTAGAAGGCTGAGGTGGAAGGATCGCCTGAGCAAGCAGGTCGAGGCTGTGGTGGCTGTGAGCGTGCCACTGCACTTCAGCCTGGGCGACAGAGGGAGACTCCCACCTAAGAAAAAAAAGAAAACAACAACAAAAAGAAACAAAAACACACCAATGCAAAAGGCACCTTCCCCCCTCGGCCCTGTCCTCCCCAGACCAGAGTCGATTTGGGAGGAGATTAATTATTAGCCAGTCTCCAGGAAAGGCCTGGGGCCCTGCTCATTCCAAACCTTTGGTGACTCTGAGGGAAGAGATACTTCCGATAAGAGTGGAGGCAGGGCAGGGAGTCTCTGAAGATCTGCCTTCAAGGAACCCCAGGGCGAGGCCCTCTCTGGCAGGCCAGCCCCTGGGGCGGAGAGGATTAAGTGGCCCATGGAGTGGCCCTCAGCCACCTCCTCGACCTGGGAGGCCCGGCCCCAGCGCAGCTCACCTGGAAGTGATCCAGCATCTGCTTCCAGGACAGGAGCAGCAAAGCCTCCTTGCGGATCTTCTTGGGGATCTCAGAGTAGAGCAGCGAGTTTTCTCGGCTGCCGTAAGGCATTCCTGGGGGAGAGCAGGAGACAGGTGGGTGCCCTGGCGGATGGGAGATGGCCTCAGCCACGACCCTGGCTCCTGGCGACCAGGCCTCGCTGGCTCCCCCTGCTTCCAGGCCATTCCGCCAGGCTGCTTGCGGCACACTGCTCCCAGAAAGCCTGGGGTCCTGGGCGTGCGTACTTCAGCAGTAGGGTCTTCTGCCTCTGAACGTCTGTGCCAAATCCCATGGCTTCAACTACCGAAGAAACAGCACAGAGAACAAGAAAAGGGCAGTCCGAGATACCCTGCCTTCAAGAGGCTGGGCTCGGCTCTGAAAGGTCTTTCTTCATCTGGGCCCAGGCTCACGCCTGTCATCCCAGTCTTTGGGAGGCCGAGGCGGCAGGATGGCTTGAGCCCAGGAGTTTCACGCCAGCCTGGGCAACAGAGCAAGACCTCGTCTCTACAAAAAAAATTAAAAAATTAGCTGAATATGGTGGTGCACACCTGTAATCCCAGCTACTTGAGAGGCCGAGGCGGGAGGATCGCTGGAGCCAAGCAGGTCGAGGCTGCAGTGGCTGTGACTGTCCAACTGCACTCCAGCCCAGGAGACAGAGTGAGTCTCCAACTCAACAAAAAAAAGGGCTTTCTTCACCACAGGCTTTTTGCAAAGGCCAAGAATTAAATTAATCTAGGATTAGAGCGAAAAAGGAATTGAGAAATGTGTACCTCACCCCTCGTTTCTCAGCCTCGCCACTGGGAACACTCGGGGCTGGTGTACCCTCTGCGGCAGGGCGTCCCGGGGCACTGCAGCCCGTTGAGCGGTGCCCTCAGCCTTTACCTCTCCATGCCAGGAGCACCCCTGGTCGTGACGACCAACATGTTCCCAGACATCGCCCAGGGTCCCCTGCGGGGGACATCACCTGTAACTGTGAGCCACTGACTTAACCCAACCTTTCGCATAAAATGATGGCAGAGACAATAGCAGCCAAAGGGGATTATGTGGCTCACAGGAGGCGAGGGACCAAGTTTAGCACAGCGCATGTCACTCAGGCGTCGGCACATTTTACCAGCAAGACTTGGTTTTTCACATTCTCATGCCTCTGAGGCTGGGCTGGGGGGTCTCACTGTCAGAGCTGCTGTCGTGTTCTTAGTGGCAGATAAAATGACGGAGCACCTGGCACCTGGTCGTGTTTTAGCCTTAATGAACGACAGTGCAACTGTCACTAATAGAAAGGATGGCAGAAGCAGAATCTGTCACCAGGAGGTCTCGGTTTCCCCTCTCTGTGCAATAAGGCTGGGAGCCCAGGACAGGGCTCCTCTGAGCACAGAGCACACAGAAGGGCCCACGGTGGCCCACGCGTGTGACACGGCAGACCCACAGAGAGGGTGGTGCGCGGGCACCTCTGCCCCTCCTTCAATCTGAGCTTTTCCAGGAGGAAACTTGGTTGGGGCCGTGCTCTTTTCAGGACTTCCCCAAACTTGCTGGCATTTTTTTTTTTTTTTGAGTTGGAGTCTCACTCCGTGGCCCAGGCTAGATGCAGTGGCATGCTCACAGCCATCCCAGCAACGACATGCTGGGCTCCGGTGATCCTTCCACCTCAGCCTTCCAAATAGCCAGAACTACAGGCGTGCACTACCACAACCGGCTATTTTTTCTTTCTTGATTTATTATAGAGATGAGGTCTTGCCAAGTTGCCCAGGCTGTTCTTGAACCCATGGGCTCAGGCAAT